TACACGGGAATCCTACGAACTGATATGTATTTTCAGTTCTTACAAATAATCTAAAAGTAGAAAATTACAATTGAACTGAATAATAAATTACAACTGAAAAACGGAAAGATTTTTAGCCGACACGAGTAAAACTCTTTCCGCAAGAAGAATACGCCCCGTGTGTCTGCTAACGGTTCAGGCGTAACTTCCCCAAAGATACAACGACAATCGTCTCTAATCTGTAGCACACCAGATTTACGAGCTCCAGCGAACGGGAACGGAATCGAGAATTGAGCACTTAGTAATAAAAGAAATATACTGAAACAAATAAAAATATCACTTGTTTCTTCTCTTTTGATATTTTTTTTATATCTGATATTTGGACATAAATATTTATATCCTTTCCTTTCTCTTTCTTTCTTCTCCCTTTCTTTCTAATTGGTGTATTTCCTTCAATCTGGCCGAGGCCTTTTTATAGGGGAGGATTGCCTCTCCAATTGAAAATAAAAAATATTTCTAATTGTGAATTGGGGCGGCTATCATGTGGCAGTCTTTGGATGCAGTGGAAAGTGACAAAATTTGAGAAATTGGGTCACATGGCTTCGAAATTTCGGATGAAAATTTGTGAGATTTGTTCACATGGGTGGATGACAATTTGTGAAATTTGTTCACATGAGTGGGTCCCACTTAAAAAAAAAAAAATATTCACTCAATTATTACACAATCGAGGGTCGACGGAGGGCGATGAGTTGCTCGACGGTCAATTTTAGACGCTGAAGCGTTTTGCTTGAAGAAATCGCAAGAGACGGATCGCCATTTTCTTTATCCGAGTTCCAATTTTTTTCAATCTGGTGGACTCATTTGGAAAATTTAATTTTAAATGAGGGGTATAAAAGTATATTAACATAAAGGATATAGGCCTTGTTTGGCAATTGACGGTTGGCTGTTAGCTGATAGCGGATTCAAGTAGCTGTTTTGACTAGCGGATCCAATTAGCTAATTTGACCAAAAGTTAAGTATTAGCTATTTGTAAAATGTGTTTGGTAAAATTAGCGGATTATTGTTAGTTATTTAAAATTCTATTTTCTATATTGGTGTTCCTTAATATATTTTTTTAATTCATAAAAAATATAAAAATTTGATCACATATAAAGCAACGTCCAAGTATAAAAATAAGATTTCATATTTTTATAAATATCTTCATAATAAAATTAAATAACACCACGTTTATTCATTTTAACCAAAAATTAAAAATCATAAAAACAACATAAAGATATAAAAA